ATAATATATATATATATTTATAATATATATATATATATATATATAAATGATACTGTTAGTATAGATTAATATAAATTGTGCAGAGTGCGTATATTGCATGCATGCGATGTGCGTTTATCACAGGGATGTTTTCAGCCTTGCTAACTACTTATCTTCTGTAAAAATATATAATATATAATATATATATTATATATTATATAAATATATATATATATATATAATGTATAATGTATATAATATATATAGTATATATAATGTATACATATGTATACTTTATATATGTAAATTATATGTATATGCATAGATTGCATATGCATATCTTGTATGTATAGTGTTTCTATCTATCTGTCTGTCATACAATATAAATATATATATATATATATTATATATATATATATATATTTGTCAATGAATATACATCCGCAATCTTACGCAGCGACAAAAGCAGTTTGCTTTGAACGGGAGAGAGAAGGCCCCACAGGGGTAAAGGAGACAGTTGGTTGTATTAAGTTGAGGTGTACATACACCTGAGACTATAAGAGTTTGATTAAGATAAGGTGTATATAAATAGCGTCTCGGGCTTTGTCTCTCTTTCTGCTGCACTCAGAGACAGATCTAAGGGCAGATAGTAAAGGGAGGTAGAGCCTGTTTGCCCAGCTGTTGCTGCTGCTGCTGTTGTTGCTGCTATTGTTGCTGTTGCTGTTGCTGCAGCTGCTGTAAGCATATCGATGCGCAGGCCTAGGAGGCAGGTTGAGGCGTAGGTACTGCTGTAGCTGCTCTCTGTCTTTATTGACTCCTTTATTAAATAAATACAATTGAACAAAGACAAATAATAAACAGAAGTAGATGTGAAATAATATTAAAAAGATTGAATAGGTGAAGGTGTGGTTGCGCCGACAGCAACACCGCTAGCGCTCTGTTTCATAGAGGCTTAAAGCAGCATTTTTGCATGTATGTGCATATAAAAACAAATAATATAATAATATTATTTATATATTTTAATTAAATTAAACAATTACTTCAAAGAATAGACAGAAGGAAGCCCCTAGGGACTACCCACTGGCCCTGCTCCTGAAACGCTGCCTGCTGCTGCTGCTGCTGTTGCTGCTGTTGCTGCTGCTGCTGCAGCAGCAGCAGAAGCTGATGAGGGATCGTTTGATAGAGGAAATAATGAATAATATTGTTTTGTACATTATAATTAATTATTATTTGTTTGTAAAACAAATAAATAAAAGAAAAAAACAAGAAAAACATACAACTCAAGACTGCTGCCGACTTCGGGCGTTCGGCTGCAGGCCGTCGAGCCCTCAGGCTCGAGGGCAGCAGCAGTAGCAGCAGCAGCAGCAGCAGCAGCTGCTGCAGCAGCAGCAGCAGCAGCAGGTTGTTTAATTCAGGTGTATGTACGCCTCAATAAACCCTCAACTCCCTTACTATTTGCCTCTAGCAGCAAACTGCAGCGCAGCAGGACAGAAAGGCTTCAGCCGCCATCGCTTCCGCGAATCTCGACGCTGCAGCAGCAGCAGCAGCAGCAGCAGCAGCAGCAGCAGCAACAGCAGCAACAGCAGCAGTTAGCTGTCTGTTTAAACTCATCAGCAACGCATGCGCTTCTCTTGTATCTCCTTCCTCAGCTGTAGCAGGCCTTTAAAAACAGATCTCCCTTCCTACCCCAGGCTCGAGAGTTTAGGGTTTAGGGTTTAGGGTTTAGGGTTTACGGTTTAGGGGCCCCCTCTCTTTTCAGTGCCTTAGGGGCCCCCAGGGGCCCCCAAAGGGCCCCTACTGTTTGGCTTCTGTGGCTAAGGAGGGCCCGGGGGCCCCCCACGAAGGGCCTCTCCCCGCTTCCCCTGAATAAGGGTTTAGGGTTTAGGGTTTAGGGTTTAGGGTTTAGATAGGAAGGCGGTGCAGATAACAAGGAATTCAGGTGTATAGGCACCTCCACATGGGTGCAGCGCTACTATTTAAAGACAGCTGAGGGTTTTTTGTAGAGGGCCCCCAGGGCCCCCCAATAGGAAGAGACTATGTCGTAAGTTTGTTTTTGTTTTGTTTGTCTCCTTCTAACTGTCTCCTTCTGTCTGTCTCCTTCTGTCTGTCTCCTTTTGTTTATATATTATCTGCCTCTGTTTCTTCTTCTGTCTCTCTGTCTCTGTCTATGTTTGCTTCTCGTTATATCTCTGTCTCTCTGTCTCTGTCTTTGTTTGTCTCTCCTTTCTTTGTTGCTGTCTCTGTCTTCGTCTCTCCCCCCCCTCTCTCGCTAGTATATATATATATATATATATATATGTATATATATATATATATTTCTGTTTCTGCTGATATATATATCTATATATATATATATATATATACATGTCCCTCTGTCTCTCTGTCTCTTCTTCTGTCTCTTTCTCTCTGTTTATTTTGTTTATTATGTTCTTAATATGATTATTTGTTGTCGATTTGTTTATAGTTTTTAATTCTTAATTTATTTGTTAATTTTTGTTTCTTTTATTCAGTTGCTTAGGAAAGAAGATCGGGGTGAAGCCCCCACACAAGAAGGTGTGTCACTGTTTTTCTGAGGGTTTAGGGTTTAGGGTTTAGGGTTTAGGGTTTAGGGTTACACAGGATACACCCCAACCAGGTGTCTCCACAAGAGTTTAGGGTTTAGGGTTTAGGAATACAACTGCAAAACTACGGGGCAGCAGCAACTGCTGCTGCTGCTACGGCTGCTGCTATTGCTGCTATGGTGGCTGCTATTACTGCTGCTACTGCTGCTGTTGATGATGATGCTGCTGCTGCTGCCGCCGCACGTAGTGTTCCTGCTGCTGCTACTGCTGCTATGGTGGCTGCTCTTGCTGCTATTGCTGCTGCTGTTGCTGCAGCTGCTGCGCTTACTCACTTTTAGGAAGAGCTGCGAATATAAATAAGTATATAAATATATATATATATATATATAAATATTATATATATATAAAGGGTTTGATAGTAGTATCAGCAGATTGCTCTTTATAGAGATGCTGTTCTTATGAAGAGCCCCTCTTCTCTTTCTTATGTGTCTCCTTCTGTCTCCTCCAGGAGGCCCCTAAAGATGCAGATAAAGATAAAGAGACAAAGAAAGCCCCTAAAGAAGGAGACAAAGATAAAGAGGTAGAAGGGGCCCCTAAGGATGCAGAAAAAGATAAAGAGACAAAGGAGACGCCTAAGGATGAAGAGAAGGAGAAGGAGACAGACGGGGCCCCCAAAGAAGGAGATAAAGACAAGGAGACAGAGGGGGCCCCTAAAGAAGGAGACAAAGATAAAGAGGTAGAGGGGGGCCCTAAAGATGCAGAGAAAGATAAGGAGACAAAGGAGACCCCCAAGGATGCAGAAAAAGATAAAGAGACAAAGGAGGCCCCTAAGGATGAAGAGAAGGAGAAGGAGACAGAGGGGGCCCCTAAAGAAGGAGACAAAGATAAGAAGAGTGAGGGGGCCTCTAAAGATGCAGAGAAAGATAAAGAGACAAAGGAGGCCCCCAAGGATGAAGAAAAAGATAAAGAGACAAAGGAGACCCCCAAAGACGGAGATAAAGATAAAGAAACAGAGGGGGCCCCTAAAGATGCAGAGAAAGATAAGGAGACAAAGGAGGCCCCTAAGGATGAAGAGAAGGAGAAGGAGACAGAGGGGGCCCCTAAAGATGTAAAGAAACAGAAGAGTGGAGGGGCCCCTAAAGAAGGAGACAAGGAGAAGGAGAAGGAGAAGGAGACAAAGGGGGCCCCCAAGGATGGGGAGAAGGATAAAGAGACAAAGGGGGCCCCTAAAGATGCAGAGAAGGAGAAGGAGACAGGGGAGGCCCCTAAGAAAGAAGAGAAGGAGAAGGAAACAAAGGAGGCCCCTAAAGAAGAAGAGAAGGAGAAGGAGACAGGGGGGCCCCCTTCTGAAGCATCAGAAGCAGCAAAACGAGCAGCATCACCAGCAGCAGAGGCTTTTGAGGCCCTGCGGCGTGAGGTGTCAGGGCTTAGGCATGAGAAGGAAGCTCTAGAGAAGAGAGTAGAGACAGCAGAGAAGAGAGCAGCAGACTTTGAAGAACAACTAGGGCGTCTCCCTTCAGAGACACGGAGGGCCCTTCAAAGAGGGGAGACACTTCGCTCTGAGGGGCGTCGGGGGGCCCCTAATGATCGCTCAAAGGGGGGCCCCCGTAGCAGCAAAGAAGGAGACAAAAAACAAAAGGAAGAGCCCCCCAAACAAACCGATAAAAAAGTGTCTCCTTTAATTAAAGATGAAAGCCAGCACAGTCAGACAGAAGAACTAGAAAAAGAAGAAAAGCAATCTAGGAGTCAGGAAGAGGAGGGCCCCCAGGACGAGGGGGGCCCCCAGGAGGATGAGGGGGGCCCCCAGGAGGAAGAGGGGGGCCCCCAGGAGGAAGAGGGGGGCCCCCAGGAAGAGACAGAGAGCAGAAACGAAAAGGAGACACCTGATAAGATAGAGAAGAGAGGCAGCAATGCCTCTGGTGCGGGCCTCAAGGTAAAGGGGGGCTCCCAAGAGAGAGAGGAGACAGCTCGAGAGCAGCAAGAAGAGACAGAAGCAAAGAAGGAGAAGCAGGGGCCCCTGATGCAGCTGCTGAAGAGGCTCAGCCGCTCACGTACACCGAAGCAGCCTCCAGAGGAGGAGACACAAAGGAGACAGACAATGCCCTCTGTGCAGCCAGAGGCCCCCAGCGAAGACAAGGAGACACTACAAGCTCTTATCAACCGCCTCAGCTTGGAGACAAAAGAAGCAAAAGAAAAGAGACAGCAACTAGCACGAAGAGTACTCTCAACCTTAGTTGCTGCTGCTGTTGCTGCTGCTGCTGCTGCTGTCTTCCTGCTGTTGCATAGCTTTCCTGCTGCTGTTGCTGTGTCTTCCCGTTACTGCTGCTGTCCTTGCGGCTGCTGCTGCTGCTGTTGCTGTTGCTGTTGCTTTGCTTTGCGCTGCCAGCCCGTTACGTGTGTTTGTGCTATTTGTTTCTTGTCTATTGAGGTGTATATACACCCATATCTTTGTTTGCTGATTATACTGGGGTGTATATACACCTGGGGTGTATGCACAGGTACACGAGGCGATGATGAAGGCCTCAATTCGCTTAGATAAATTGGAGACCACGTATGCGCTGGCGTACAAAGAGGTGCGCCGGGGAAACAGCTAAAGGAGACAGACAAAAGGAGACAAAAGGAGACAAAAGGAGACACTAAAGGAGACAGTATAGAGACAAAGAGACAGCGTAGAGACAAAAGGAGACAGAAGGAGACAGCATAGAGACAAAAGGAGACATTAAATAGATAAAAAGAAACAGAGTAGAGACAAAAAGAGACACAAAACGAAGCCACGGAGACAGCAAGGCCACGAGGGAGACACCAAAAAGTTGAGGAGACACCTGGAGAAGAATTTAAGGAGGCCTAACTTGATAAAAAGCAGCATTTCGTGTGTCTGCTGCTGCTGCTGTTGTTGTTGTTGCTGCTGCTGCTGTTGTTGCTGCTGCTGTTGCTGCTGCTGTTGCTGCTGCTGCAGGTGGAAGCAAACAACCGCAAGGCGCAACGGGCTCGTCTGGCTTACTATGGCAGGGTGCGTTTGCTGCTGCAGCAGCAAGAAGGAGACAATTAAATTTAACAATAATATAATCATAATAATAAGACAATCTCTTCTTCATCTCATCTGCTCCCCTCCGGAAGAGACAGAGACAGAGACAGCCCCAGCAGGCAAACGATATACGTGCTACACTCAATGGTGCTGCTGTTCTTCTTGCTGTCATTGCTGCTGCTGCTGCTGCTGCTGCTATTGCTGTTGCTGCTGTTCTTGTTGTGGGGTGAGCAGTCTAAAGACCTACAGATGCGCATTGCCGCCCTCCTAGACAAAGTATATGATATGGAGACAACGCCCCCACTCCCGTAAGCAAAGCCCCATGAATGCATGCATGCATGCATGCATGCATGCATGCATACATGCACGCATGCACAATATATGTAGGCATGCATGAATGCATGCATAGGTATGCATACGTTCATCCATAGGTACAGATATGCATGCATGCACATTATACAGATGCATGGATGCACGCATGCATGTACAGACGCATGCTTATAACGGTGCATGCATGCATGCATGCAGGCAGTGTTGGGGGTGCATATTTGCTGTTGCTTGGGTTTGTGTGTGGGGCCTGAGGAGTAAGGAGATGAAGGAGACTGCAGTTCTACTGAGTTTGATAATTAGTTGTTTATCATCAGTAGTATTTCTTTGTCTGTTTCGTTCGTCTCTGTCTCCTTCTGCTGCTCCTGCGTAAGCAGAGAAGAAGTGTCTCCTTTCTAAATGGTGCAGCTTATTTGTCGCCTTTCATGTTTAATAAAAAACGGGCAGGAGACAGTTGAAGGTTTAGGGTATAGGCTCTAGTGTTTAGGATTCAGGGTTTAGGGTTTAGGGTTTAGGTTTTAGGGTTTGTTGTGTGCCTCCTTTAGGCCCAAGCCTATTCGGAAGCCACCGCCTCGTCCTTCTGCAGCTGTTGCTGCATGCAGCGAGGCGGAGGAAGGAGACACTTCTGGGGTGTATGTACACCCCAACACGCAGCAGCCTTCTCCTTGCGTCTTCGTAGCACTACCAGAGACAGCAGAAAAGGGCTTGAGCACTCTTCCTCGCGAGCAGCAGACAGTGTGGATACCTATGCAGCTATCAGACGGAGCCTCTCCTGCTGCTGCTGCTGCTGCTGCTGAACCAGCAGCAGCAGCAGCAGGAAGAAGACAAACTGTGGCCTTGCCTTGGTGTATTTTTAATGAGGCATCCACGCAAAAAGCAGCAGCAAAGGCGGGGGGGGAGACAGAAAGGAGACATACAGTGATGGTACCTGCTTATGTCTTTAATGATGTTGCAGCAGCAAATGCTTACGAGAGACAGTGTGCTGCTGCTGAGAGGAGACAGACAGCAGCTCTTCCTGAGAAGATCTCTAAAGAGGAGACAGCAGAAAAGCAGCAACCATCTGCTGCAGCAGCAGAAAGGAGACAATCTGCTGTCTCTCTTCCGTCTTTTCTCTTTAGGGGGTCTTCTAATGCAGACACCCCAACGCATGCAGCCCCAAATAATGAACAGCAATTACCTCGTCGCGAGTCTTCGGTCCCCTTCCCCTTTAGTCTCTTCACCAGCTTCCATAGCTTCAACTCAGACACTAACCAGCAGCAGCAGCAGCAGCAGCAGCAGCAGCAGCAGCAGCAACTTAAAGATGGCCCTTCTGTCGAAGACGCGCATCACGAGCTGCGCAATGTCCCGCCTATAGAGGCCCCCACATCTGAAGGAGAAGAAGAAGAAGAAGATAACAAAAAAGGAGACAATAAAGGAGACAGTAAAGAAGAAGACAATAAAGGAGACAGTAAAGAAGGAGACAACAAAGGAGACAGTAAAGAAGAAGACAATAAAGGAGACAGTAAAGAAGAAGAAGACGAAGAAGAAGAAAAAGATATATTCCCACCCCCAGGTGAAGCCCCCTCACCTGAGGCCCGTGATGTCTTTATAAACAGCAGCAGCAGCAGCAGCAGCAGAAGCGCCAGCCGTCTCTCTCAGTCTTCACCCCCTCCTCAGCTAAACAAAGCAGCGAGTAAGAGACATCATACACCTCTCTAGCCCCAAAGCAACCCCAAGCCACACTCCAGCACGTTGCTGCATGCATGCACGCATGCATGCATGCATGCAAGCAGACAGCTCTATCCATGCATGCATGTTGCTGCATGCATGCATGCATGCATGCATGCATGCAAGCAGACAGCTCTATGCATGCATGAGATATCCTCTTGCAGCTTTCTGATCATCTAAAGCCTTGGATTCGCATTACTTTATGCATATTGCCGTTGCTGCTGCTGCTGTTGCTGCTGTTGCTGCTGCTGCTGTTGCTGCTGTTGTTGTTTGTTGTAGGGAGCGCTAGCCAAGGGCTAGAGAAGTCTTCTACCTCTAATGAGGAGACATTTATAAGGGCCCCTTGCTGCGGGCGTTCGTGTATAAAGAGCGATGTGAGGCCCTTTAAGAAATGCGGTTGTTTAGTTTGTAGACAGTGTCTCCGAACAGCAGCAATGCAATCTCGTGTGCATATAAGCAACTACGTGGGATCCGATCCCGCTACAGGGGCCCCCATATGGCGTGTACGTTGCCCTACTTGTGGGGTCCCTGCTACTCTTACTGCAACCCAACTCCGCACAGCCTCTATTAAGCGCAGCGCCCCGTAGACAATAATACTGTACTGTCTCTTCTTACCCCTCTATACACTCTATATTCTCCGACCAAATGCTCTCCTGTCTCCTCTGTCTCCTTCTAAAGGCGAGCCTATTGTCTCCTTTTAAAAGAAGGAGCAGGCGGGGCTAGAGGCCCCCTATCAACACTGCCTCCTTTTAGGGGGGCCCCTATCAACACTGTCTCCTTTTAGGGGGGCATCCTATCAAACTGTCTCCTTTTAGGGGGGACCCCCTCTCAGCAGGGCCCCCTTTCTAAGGGGTTGGGGGTCAAGCGTCTTGTCTCTGCTGTCTCCTTCTAACTGGGGGCCCCTCTCAACACTGTCTAACTTTAATAAGGGAAGGGTCTTTACTAAGCAGGCCGTCTTCTAATGGCTGTATCCTTTAGGGGGCCCTCCTCTTAGAAGTGTCTCCTTTTAGGGGGCCGTACACTCAGCAGTGTCTCCTTACAGGGGTTAGGGGTCTAGCCTCCTTTTTGCGCTGTCTCCTTAGAGGGGGGGCCCCCTAGCACCACTCACTGTCTCCTTTTAGGGGGGCCCCCCTCTCAAAGACAGAGACAGAGATATAGACGGAGAAAAACAGACAGAGATAGAGAGATATAAAAAGAAGAGTGCAGCATTAATAGGGGGAGGGCCTTTATTAAGCAGGCCTTCTTTTAATGACTGTCTCCTTTAGGGGGCCCTCTTAAAGGAGACAGTCATTGAAAGACACAAAGAAAGGCAGGGACAGATACAAGCAGAGCCGGAGACCCCACACTCTTCTTTCTTTCCTGCTGCGCATACACCTCAAATCCACTTCTGCAGCTGCACCAGCAGCAACAGCAGCAGCAGCAGCAGCAAGCTGCCTGGCACGTAGGGATGTGTCCTCCGACAGAGGTATATCTTTGTAGAGTCATCTATATGTGTAGTAAGTGTCTCTTACAGAAGAAGCAGCTATTTGCTGCAGCTGTCTCCTTTGTTTCTGCATGCAGCTGCTGCGTTTGGTTGATGTTTTAAAGCTTTGTTTGTCTGTGTGTGGGGTTTCTCTTGTAGCAGTAGTATGCCGTGTGTACAGTTGCTGCTGCAGGGCTCATCGGGTGTCTCCTTCTTCTCAAGAATTTAAACTGTCTCCTCTCACCCTTTTCATGGGTGCTGTCTCTCTAGTATAAAGACCTATTCCTTTGCTGTTTCTTTGTTTTGCTGGGGTGTATGCACAGCCTTCTGTCGGTGTCGTTATCGTTAGTGGCTTTAACTGATGAATTTAAACGCAAAGAGAGAGAAATACAGCTAAAGTGAGAGCAACGAGTGTTGCTATCACGCAGCAGCAGCAAGCTGCAGCAGCAGAAGCAGCAGCACCAGCAGCTAGCTGTACCCGTTCTCTGTGGAGCGACCGTATCAAGCCCAGGGGGCTAACTCCTCAAGGAGCTGCTTGTCGCAGGGGTTTGCTTACAAGCCCTGAGTACTTAGAGGCGATCCCGATCCGGATCCCGATCCCGATCCTCCTTCTATCGATGTGGGGTGTAGGTGAAAGCCCCCGGCGCGGCTGTAGTCATCATGGGGGCCCCCAGTGCAGCTGTCTGTACACCAGGAGGATCAGAGGCCCCTTATAGTTGCTTGTTTTGAATAATAACAATAATACGTAGCACAGAAAGGGTAGAAGAAATCATCCCCGAAGGTCGTGTGCTGAGAACACGGGGAGGGTGCTTGGGGTGTCTAGGGAGGTAGCTGGATGATGAGGTGTAAATATATTAGAGTTAAAGTTTGTGTTTAAAAAAGAAAAATAGTGTATTTAATATATAATAATTAAATTTATTTAAATATTTAAGCTGCATATACACCCGAAGACCCCACTGATGTCATCAAGCTACCCCCCTCTCTGGTCTGGTGCGGTGCGGTGCTGCAGCTCTAAGCAGCAGTTTGTCTTTCTTCAGATTCATGCTGCTTCTGGGGGTAAGAATAGGGTTTTTTATGCGATTAAATGCAAAAATAAATGATTATTTTTCTTTCTTTATCATTGTTATACCTTTAATGCTGCTGTGAGGCCCCTCTTCTCTTTATCTTGTCTGCTAGCTAGTTGAGTCTTCGCTAGGCAGGCACAGAGGAGTGGGGTGTCTTCTTTGTCTTTGTTTGGGCTTATCCTTTTTTTTATTATGCTCTGAAAGCTTTATTAGAGGTATATATACGTAATTAACCTCTTTAAAACCTTCAGATGGACAAAAATAAAGCAAGACAGTCTGCAGCGCTGTAGCTAGTACTGCTGACGCAGCGGCGAAGACATAGGTGTGAGCAGCAGCTGCTTCTCTTAAGGAGCAACTCTTTTTTCTTTTGGGGTGTATCTACTGTTATGAACTCATGAATTAGGCTTTTTAAAAGGCTTTGTTCAAATATAGCATTTTGTTTTATTCGAGCAGCAACAGCAGCAGCACAGACTTCTTCTTTGCTGCTGCTGCTGTTGCTGCTGCTATCACCCCACTATCGAAACGTCGGAGCAGCAGCAGCTTATTCATATTCTTTATATCTTGTTAAATAAGCTTTATCTTTCTTCTTTGGGCTTTACCTCTTCTTTTTATTTTGCTTCTCAATAAAGAGCAGCAGCTTTACAGCTAAACGTCTGCAGCAGGGCAATATATATCGAGGTTCTTAGGAGGAGATTGCTGTGCGAGCGTCTCCTCTCTCTCGGGTGTATGTACACCGCAGATAGGCCCACTACTACATGCATCATATGCTGCAGCACAAGCAGCAGCATCAGCAGCAGCAGCAGCAGCAGCATAAGCAGCAGCAGCATAAGCAGCAGCAGCATAAGCAGCAGCAGCAGCAACAGCTTTTATCAGCAGCAATCTATAGCTGGTATCTGTTCATCGTCGATGACGCATATTGTTCGCGTTAATTGATGATAATAAACAAAAATATAAAGATATAAATCTTCTTCTTTATCCTACAGGACAGACAAAGTAGAGAACCCCTCATTGAAACAAACAGAAAAACAAATATAATAATACGTATATATACGTATACGTATATATACATATATATAAATATATATATTTATATAAATATATATTTATATTTATATTTATATATCTTTTCAAAGAGACACCATGGCTTGTGCTTCACTTCTTACAGACGACAATATTCTGCGCTTTAGGACAAAGGCTTGCCTACGCCTGGTGCAGGGATCATGCAGCTTCGGAGACGAGTAAGTCGAGGGTTTAGGGTTTAGGGTTTAGGGTTTAGGGTTTAGGGTTTAGGGTTTAGGGTTTAGGGTTGTATCTTTGTTGTGTGTATAGTTGTATATATATATATATATATATATATTTGTATATATATAATATATTGTTTATATTGTTTAGATTGCGTATATTATTTGTTATTTATAATCTGAATTATTTGTTGTTTATTGTTTGTATTATTTAGTGTTTGTTTGCACTTCTTATTTTTTATTTTAATAAATAATGGACAGAACTGAGACTAAGAAGTATTATCTGAGGTGTATATTGTTAGAGAGTATATAATTATTTATTTGTTTTTCTTAGTTATGTTTGTCTTAGTGTTTATTATATTGCTTCTGTTGCTTATCCATATTGTTTGTTGTTTATTATAAACTGTCTGTTGATATTGATATATTATGTCTTACGTTTTATTTACATTATTTGTTGTTTATATTTTATTTTGTTTAACTTGTCTATATTTTATGTCTTATGCATGCTTTTTGTCGTTTATATTTTTTGTTTTGTTTATATTTATTATTTTAATAGGGTTTTATAATCATTAGTAGTAAACAAACAAACTTAAATAATATCTGATGCATAACAACATGAGTTATATATACATATATATATATATATATATATATATATATATATATAAATTTTATTGAGATATAATTGGGGTGTATGTTCAGCCGATGTGTATGCATAAAAACATGCTTTATATATATATATATATATATATATATATATATATATGTGTGTATTTTGATATGATATAATTGGGGTGTATGTACAGCCGATGTCAGTACTCTCACAGCCAAGTGTGGACTCGAAGATCTCCTTATTATGCACCTCCGGGGTCTCGAGTAGATAGACAAGAGTTAGGTCAGAGACAGCAGCCTCTTCTTCGCTATTTACCTGTTCTTTGTCAAAATCTGCAAATAGAAGATGGAAGGTTAATTAAAGTTAAATGTCCTAGAGGCGTCAACTGTCCCTTCTCACACTCTCCTGAAGAGATTGCTTATCATCCCCTCGTCTATAAGGTCAGCCACATGTATTTTATAGCTTCAAGATGCTGCTGCTCCTGCTGCTACTACTGCTGATGCTTATGCTGCTACTCCTGCTGCTACTGATGCTGATGCTGATGTTTTGATGCTGATGCTGATGCTGATGTTTTGATGCTGCTACTGATGCTGATGCTGATGTTGTGATGCTGATGTTGTGATGCTGATGTTGTGATGCTGATGCTGATGTTGTGATGCTGATGTTGTGATGCTGATGCTACTGATGCTGATGCTGATGCTGATGCTGGTGCTGCTGATGATGATGATGATGCTGGTGCTGCTGATGATGATGATGATAATTGTGATGATAATTGTGATGATAATTGTGATGATGATGCTGATGCTGCTGTAGCGGCACCAGTTGAAGCAACAGCAGGAGCAGCAATAGAAGCAGCAGTAGCAACAGCAGTAGAAGCAGCAGTAGCAGCAGAACCAGCAGCAGCAACAGCAGCAGCAGAAGTGGTAGTAGCAACAGCAGCAGTAGCAGCAGCAGCAGTAGTAGCAGCAATGGTAGTAGCAGCAAGAGCAGCAACAAGAGAAGAAGCAAGAGAAGCACAAGCGCAACCATTCTTAAGAGCGGAGATAAAACGAAGACGAGAAATGAAGCGAGTTATTAATTAAATGTTTTTATTGATAGATACAATTAAAATCTGCAATTAATAACATGCAGCTCAAACTCTCTACCTTTGCTCGGATCTTCGACTCCTCCTCTTATACTGCCTTCCAGTCCCTGGCTATCCTCTGCATGCATGCATGCATGCATGCATGCATGCATGCATGCAAGGGCTTTGTTTTTGTTTGCGGTGTCTCGCTGTTGCCGATGCTTTTTTATATTGGGGTTTCTCTATCCCTGCCTCTGGCTCTCTCTTTCTTTCTCGCTTTATTTATTTGTTTGTATGTTCGTACTTGTTTTTTATTTGTTTGCATGTCTATGCATGCATGCGTATTTGCTCGTTTATATTTGTTTATCTCTGTGCTTACTACTCGCTGTAGACAGAGCCTTGTGAGGTCTTTGCTTGTATCTCTCTCTATCTCCTTTGGTATCTGTCTGTCTTTGTCTTCTTTTTATCTGTCTCCTTTTAACTGTCTGCTGTCGACTGTCCCCTTTCGACTGTCTCCTTTTAACTGTCTCCTTTTACCTGTCTCCTTTTAATGCGTCTCCTCTAGAAGGGGCCCTCTAGGGCCTCTTGCTTCTATCAGCGTATCTCCTGCTATCTACCTGTCTGTATCTGTCTCCGTTTAACTCTCTCCTTTTAACCGTCTCTCTTTAACTGTCTCCTTTTAGCTGTCTCTTTTTAACTGTCTCCTTTTCACCGTCTCCTTTTCACCGTCTCCTTTTGACCGTCTCCTTTTAACCGTCTCCTTTTAACTGTCTTTAACCGTCTCCTTTGGGCGGAGCCCTGTAAGGCTTCTTGCCTTAATCTATATCCTCTGATCAATCTGCTTCTATCTACCTCCTTTTCAGTGTCTCCTTTTAAGTGTCTCCTTTTAAGTGTCTCCTTTTAAGCGTCTCCTTTTAAGTGTCTCCTTTTAATGTGTCTCCTTTAGACGGAGCCCTGTAAGGCGTTTGCTCAGCGGGCCTGTCGAATGTACTACTGCTGGAAGAGCCACGGTGAAAAAGAGAGGAGACAGTGCGCAAGACATGTCTCTCTTGGGGTTGTACGGGGGTTAAACGGTAAGATAGATATAAAAGAAATACAATCAAAGACAGATCTAGATATAGAGACGAGAAGAGACGGATAGAGACAGAGGGACAGGCAGAGAGAGACAGACGGAGACAGAGAGACAGAGAGAGAGAGAGACGGATAGAGACAGAGAGACAGAGAGAGAGAGAGAGCAGCAGCAGCAGCAGAGGCAGAGGCAGAGGGAAGAGCATAAACAGAGCACTTAAGCAAACGGTAGTAGGAGGTGTTGAAGGAGACAGACAAAAGGAGACACCGCTACGAGATGGAGTGTACAGACAGGAAGCCCCACATAGAGCGTGCATGCAGGTCCCCGTGAATGCATCTCTCCAGCCCCGTGGATGCACACATGCATGCGTTTACGCACCTGCCTGCATGCACGCATGCATTTGCATGCATTTGCATGCATGCATGCCCAATCACACCATGCATGCATGCATGCATGCATGCATCTGTCTCTTTGCATGCATGCATGCATGCTTCTGTCTGTTTTTTGTTGTGTGTGTGTACACCAGTGCCTGTGAATTACCCTGGAGTGAGTTTGGTGGAGTTGCTTCCAAACAAAAACGGCCGCAGAAGGAGACAGCGTCTCCCTTTAGCGAGTGCTTCAGGGGCTCTGGAGGGGGCTGGGGGAGGGACAGCAGGAGCATCAGCAGCAGCGGCATCCGCAGCAGCAGCAGCAGCAGCAGCAGCAGCAGCAGCAGGTGGGGGGAACAGCAGCAACCCAACACCTCCTGATGATGTCGGGCTGCTGCTGCAGCGCGTTGTGAGGCGCCTTGCAGAAAGGGGGCCGACTCCTGCTGCTGAGCAGGGCCCCACACCCTCGCTTGTGGGGCTAGAGGCTTTGTGGGGACCCGAAGGCAGCAGCAACAGCAGCAGCAGCAGCAGCAGCAGGGGGCCCCCCTTGGCTGCAGAGAACCTTGGGTTGCTGTACGGGGGGCTGCTGCACTTGGCAGAGGCGCAGCGAGAGCGAGCAGCAGCAACAGCAGTCTCTCAGGAGCCCCGGGGCGGCCTTAAGCGCAACAGCAGCAGCAGCAGCAAGCTGTCTCCTTCGCAGACAAAGAGAGAGAGAGAGACAGCAGATATTTTCTTGAGGCCGGGCCTCCTCGTCCCTACAGACAGCGCACTGGAGCAGATACCTCTAAGGCGATCCCTACAGGGTTTTGCCCCCACCAAGCAGCAGCAAGTGCAGCAGCAAGTGCAGCAGCAAGTGCTTCAGGGAGAGTGTGGGGATGCCTGCTGGGGTCCAGTTGGGGGCTCTGCTGCTGCTGCAGCAGCAGCAGCTGCTGCTGCTGCTGCTTGCTGCGGAGACACCCCATTCGTTCCCTTGGGGGCCCCTCTTTCTGCCTCCTGCAACGTAGATTATGAAGCGTTTCTGTCTACAGGAGGGGGCCCCCAAGAGGAATTGTTTAGGGCAGCCGACGCAAGCAGAGAGAGACAGCCAGCAACAGGAGACAGACAGCTGGAAGACGAGAGACAGCTGGGGGGCCCCCTTGCTGCTGATGCATGCGTAGAGCAAGTGGGAGGGGCCCTCTGGGGAGCGAGTAGCGATCTGTGGGGCCCCAGCTGCATGCAGCAGGTACAGGGCAAAGGAGACGAAGAGACAGGAAGCCCTAAGGCCTCCTCCTGGGGTAACACAGGCAGCAGCAACCAAGGAAATGCAGCAGCAGCTGCTGCAGCTGCAGCAGCAGCAGCTATCAGCCTCTCCCTTAACTCTGGGCCTTCCCTCGTACCCACACCGGAACTACACAGCACTCCCTGGGAGAGAGTATGCGACTATAGACAGTAGAACGATTCGCATGCAAATGCTGCTGCTGCTGCTGTTCCTGCTGCTGCTGCTGCTGCTGTTGGCACTGCTGGTGCTGCTGGTGTTGCCGCTGCTGCTGCTGCGGAGGCTTTTGATATTACTGCTAATGATGATGCTGCTGCTGCTGAAGCAGGCCAAGCATCTGCATCAGTTGGTGCTGCTGCTGCTGCTGCTGCTGCTGCTGCTCCTGCTTCTGTCTGCTGTTGACCTGCTATGTATTGTCTTTATGATTGTGTTTCTGTTTTCGTTTTCAGGTTGCTGCTCTTGGTGAGTGTGGCGTGAAGGGAAGCTTTTTGGAGGGTGATAGCAGCAGCAGCAGCAGCAGCGGGGGCAGCAGCACGAGCAGCAGCAACATCAGCAGCAGCAGGAACAGCAGACATGGGCGCCGTGCAGAAGAAGAAGGGGGTAGTGTTGCTTCTACTTGTTTTTCTATGGATTTCACCTTGGGTAGCAGCACGATCTCTTCTGCTGTTCCTGGGGACACAGAGCAGCAGCTGTCTCCTCCCGCTGCACATGCCTTTGTGAGGTTTGCTGCAGACGACGATGACCCACTAGCAGCAGCAGCAGCAAAGGGAGAAGGGGAAGACGAGGAGGTCTCCCCTGATGGCGTTGGCGGGGGGCCGTGGAGATCTGCAGCTGCAGCTGCAGCAGCAGCTGCTGCTGCTGCTGCTGCGGTGCAGTCTTGGCAGGAGGTGCGCAGCCCGGAGCGAGGTGACAGCGAGGGTCAGGAGACAGCCGCAGCAGCAGCTGCTGCAACTGAGGAGCGCTGGGAGGGAGAGGAAGAGAGCACGCTGCTACCTATGCCTGAGCTGCAGGGGCTTGGCTACGGAGACAGCGGAGTAGAAGGAGACAGTGAAGAGAGTAAGCGGTGGGTCTCTTGTCTAATGTCTCTCTTGAAACTCGTACAGGATCAGGAGGGGCCAGGGATAGAAGAAGCAGCTAACAGACGAACCGAAGAAGAGACAGAGAAGAGACAACCACCTGCAGAACAGCAGTCCCCTCTAGAGGTTAAAGAAGAGCAGCTGTCTCCTCAGCCTGAGGAGACAGAAACTCAAGGGTGTGCTTCATCATCAGCACATCTACCTACGCGTGTAGGCCTTCATTGGCTGGCTGTCTAGATACCCTAGACTCGCTGATGCTGCTGCTGCTCCTGAAGTGGCGCCTTCGCAGTGAGGAAGGGGGAAGAGACACAGAAGAGACAACAGAGTCAAGCAGAAGATAGATGGTGCTCAGCAGCAGAGAGACACGGAGGAGACAGGAGCTCCTCCTACCGCAGGGGGGCACCTCGGGTAATGACTGCTGCAGCATCTGCTGCAGCAGTTGCTGCTGCAGCAGCAAACAGCAGCAGCAAAAGTGCTGCTGGAGGATATGTAATACACCACAGGCTGCGCATGCATCCACATGCATTATGTGCAACAACAAGTCTTGGGGCTTGATGTAGCAGCAGCCTGTTTTTTCTTGTTTCTTGCATGCACAGCAAGAGACAGTGCGTGCAGCGCAGCCAGACGCAGGAGACAATTAAGGGAGGACACTCTTCCTCTGTCTGCGGCAGCTGCTGCAGCAGCAGCAAGAAGCGAGGGGCCCCTCACTCGGTTGCTGCTGTGCCTCTCGGGAGCGCTGCTGCTCTTACCACTGTATGATGCAGCAGCAGCAGGTCCTGCAGCGGTCCGACCTGCAGCGGTTGCTGCTGCAGCAGGTGCTGTTGCTGCTGCAGGTGCAGCAGCTTCTGCAGATGCTGCTGCTGCTGCTGTTGCTGCTGCAATATAAGAAGAGCCGGGACGAAGACGGAGATGATGCGGCATTCAATAGTTGGCTCAGCAGCTTTGAGTGAAAGGGCTGGTAACTGCGCTGTTGGTTCAAGTGCTAAACCCTAAACCCTAAACCCTAAACTTTAAAGGGTGGGTAATAGGGGAGGGGACAGGTGGGAGAGGAGAGATAGAAGCCTCTCTATGAATGCAGCACAATGTGGGTTTAAGTGTTTCTTCTTTTGGGGTTTATATAGCAGGTGTTGATTATGTTTATAGGGCTTTATTATGAGGGGCACATGCCGCTGCTGCTGCTGCGGCTGCTGCTGCTGGTCCTTTATCGCCACCTGTCTCCTCAGCGGCTGGGAAACCCCCAAAAAGCCGCTGTCTCCCTTTCCTTTCTGCAGCAGCAGAGCAGCAGCATCGTGCCTTTGCTGCTGCTGCATGCATGCATGCATGCATGCATGCAGCTGGTTGTCTTTGGGAATGAAGGCGGCGGCTGTCTGTGCGTACAGCCGGTAGAGGGAAAGGGCAGGCCCTTTAAAATGCAGGAGTTATATAATAATATTCACGCCAGGAGATAATAAAAGGAAAGGAGTATTAAGAGCTGCGTATACACCCCAAAGGGGGAGGAGCTGAAGACAACAACAGCCCCGCGCAGGAGTCTGCTGCTGCGTGTTGTTGAATTTACTGTATATTACTTTTCTCAGTCTTTTTTTTGCTGCTGCAGCAAAGGGAGTAGATGTCTCTGTATGGGGCTTCTACAGCCTCTAGCGCTAGCTAGAGGCGACGCTGCCTGCACGCATGCATATCATAATGATGCTTCTGTTATATATAAATAAATATCTCCTTTCTTCCTTTCTTTCTTTTCCTTAATGTAAACAGCGGCAAGTTGGAGTGCTGCAGTGCACGTGCACTCTTTTGGTTTTACATTATAAGCAAGTGAATATATATATATATATATACACAAATATAAATATACATACACGCCAGCATATATATATATATATATATATATATATATTTACATGCATGCATAACGTGCCTTTGTGTTTCTTTGCGATTG